CATTTTAATGATACTTTTATGGTAACGTGTTGTTGCCGCAAACCAGTACTGGATCGCCGGCATCGGAGCTCACAGCGAGAAAACTGTCGTATAGAAATAACATTTTCCAAGAGCATTTTCTGAAAACTCCCGACGAGGCGGTCGCAAGAAACGGACAAGTCAATAGAGCGTTTAAAAATTAGCCAACAAAGCCAAGATGGGTAACAAAGCGGAGCTTCACGGCCAACAATTAATTCAGCATAGACAGTCGGCGCATTGTCTCGGCAGCTCGCAATAAATAAGCTTCTCGTCAGGCATACATAGGCAGTAGTCGCGAGCACGTCGTTTTATGCAGATCGAAAGCGCGCTCGCCCATTAATCTAGTTATAACGGTACGCTATAGGAGGCACGCGAAGAAATCGACGGGGGCAAATCATCGATGTGATTTATGCGTGATTGAAACGTCACTTTCGACGTGGCGCGGCTATTTTTTACCTTTTATCCGCCCAAGTTGCCTATGATGCTTGCAACTTCACACGCCGTCGAGATGTGTCTATTGCGATATCGACGATCGAATTGAAAAAAGCATTATTTTGGTGCCGGTGAAAGCGCTCGCGCGAGAAAATTGACCGCGAGGCACGCATTACTTCGACGCTGCTATGCAGCATACGCACTCGTCAGGAAATTATTGACAAGCGATGCGGATGTGTCGCGCACCGACGATTTTCTTTTTCACGAGAAAAAATCGAAAAATATTCACTGACATTTAATTGATAGATATAAGCGGTCCGTTCCGGCCATCGAAAAACATTTCCAGCACAGATGGAATATCGCTGAAATGAAGTACGAGCATTGAGAAATAACGTATGCTTGCTCAAGAATAATCCGTTCACTGAACTTGTAATCTCGGTTGCGGCTTTTATAGCTTGAAATAAGGCACGCTGGACAAAAAAAAAAGACCGCGAACTATTTATGGATTCAACTCTACGACTAGGCGTAAAGAAAAATGATACCTAGAAACTTTGTCTTCGAAAATAATCATCAAGGCATGTTCCCCAGTGCAACGAAACGCAATCGTCACAGGCTCATTAACCTCGATATCGTGCCAGACTTTCGCCTATTCGGCAAAAGCTTAATGCCGCGCCGATAAAAACAGAAAACAAAGTAAGCCTCCAAAATGACGAAAGGAAACGCGTGACGCAATCGCGACTCACTTTCACTCAGAAAAATGAAGAAAAAGTGTACGTGCGCGATAAAGCAACGACACAACAGCTACGCGCGGCGAAAACCCAGGGAAAATCTCGCGCGGCTCATCTCGTATAATCCTTTCTCCTAGGATCGTGGCTCGATCGCGTGTCCTCGTCGCGCGTACGTCTCATCGGTGCTTGTGCACGATAGCCCATCGCACGTACCATGCGCACGCGTTATAATTTCTTTTTTCCTTTCGCTCTCATGAGCAAGCCACTTTGTGTGTGTGTGTGTGTGTGTGTGTGTGTGTGTGTGTGTGTGTGTGTGTGTGTGTGTGTGTACGCGCGCGTGTGCGTGTGCGTGTGCCTAGAGGGCCAACGGAACGAATAACATGTAACTACGCGTTTTTACGTTACGAGTGCAAGACTTGATCAAAACAAATGGCGGAGAGCCCCGCGACTACAGAGATCGGATGAGCGGCGCGATAAGAGTTACTGTCTTGAATTGATTGTCTTGTTGGTTCCAGCTACTACTACTCTATAACTTGCCTGTCTTTATTGCTTTCTTTTGTGACGAGAAATTAACTTCGGAATATCCAACTGTATCGTAAGTTATGATCGTGGTAACAATGGCATTCGTCACAAATACGATAGAGCGTTTCTGCGTAACATACTGAGCAATCTTTTTTCTAGCTTTTTCATTCCTTAAAAAATATATTCCTCCACTAAATTTCTTTAATCATTTTAATTGTCGTAATCAAGCTTTTGCCAACTACTTTCGTCGTGCATAATCAAATTCCAACGGTGACTCTAACATGAATTAATCACTCAAAAAAGAGACTGATTGGTATCAATCAATATCAAAAGAGTAAGACATCGTCGCAATCCTCGATAAACTCAAAATCTATTTCACTTTTAGCATTGGCTTGTAGATAACTAATTAAACGAAAAAAGAAGAGCACAAAATATTAGAAGAAAATGATTAGAGGCCAATCAAAGTGTATTGACGTGTCAGTAAGGATAATTCGATAATAATTGCAGTCACAACATATCGCAGAAGTGGACTGGAAACTGGAAATAATCGCAGCGATCGCGGATAAGAGTGGAAAGGCAGCAGCCACACACAAGCGGCCTACATATAAGAAGCTGTGGTCAACGGATCCATATCTCTAGCAGAGCAGCAGCGAGTCGCGCGCGCATACGTCTTCGATGTAAGAAGTAAGCGTGCCGGCACGCGTGATGGCGATAAGGATTCTTTACGTCCCGCTGCCGCTGCTGATTCATTTATTCCAGCGCATCAGCTGAGTCAGCGCAGCTTTTCTTCTGGACGCCACGAGCTGCTGGGCTTTCCATCAGCCTGTCGCTCGTGATGCGAATTTCGTAGCAACCTCGCGGAACGCCACCTTACCATTCTCTCTCTCTCTCTCTCTTTCGTTTTTTATTCTGCGAGTTTCGAGAATTCCCTCGTCATTGGGCCGCAACAGGCCAGCTCGAGGTTTCAAGTGCGGACGCTCGTGCTTTTTTTATAAATAAGACTCGTCGCGCAAATCAAATTCATCAATGGCCGAATACGAGCATCATACGCTGGAGCTACATAGATATTTCACGCGTGTTTCGCAGATTGTCTACTTCAAGTGCGTTTTACGCCTTCAACATTGACTAACGAGAGAATTATTGACTTTCTTGCCGCTCGACTCAATTAATAAAAGACGACTTTGGAAATTATTGCGCACTCTGTTGCGACGTTAATGCCAGTTTGGATTCTAGTTAGTCTTCATTACCTTCTACTCCAACGTGCACTCATCAAATGGAAATTCTCGTGCAACTTTTTTAATCATTGCCGCGAAAATAAAATTCAACTTCTCCCTTTTTCATTGAAATTGTACGTTTCTTTTCCTCGGACGTCTGAGACGGCTCAAAAATCCTCAAAGCTTTTTCTCGGCAACGGCAGTCGTCCGGGTCGACAGACAGCCGTCATCGCAAGGCATCTCAATTGAGATCTATTCGAGCATCTATTTCACTGTCAACTTTACTCACGTGAGATATAATGGAGAGAGAGAGAGAGAGATGCGGGTCAAAGAGAGATAATCGCGCACTAAGATTTTTCAATGTCACGCATCGCTCCGTTTTTCGCTGCTGCTCCTATCTCTTAGTTTTTGCCCCACTCGCATCTTTGCGAGACGAAGAGCCGGTTATGCAATCGCTGCTTGCGACGATGTTGTCCTTGTGGACTTTGTGACGTGCGAGGAGCTATCACTTCCCTTTTCTTTCAGTCGGGCAGATAGCTAAATATGAATATTGAAGGATCAAGACGCCACTGTTCTCCATGTATGTACTGACGTATCACAGATATTCGAGTCGAAGCGTATGGCCATTGCCGCAAGTTTGGGATTGACGCCTCCGTTGTGCTTATGCTAATGATCCTCGCATCAAAATTTAGCCGTTACAGATTTGACGATTTGGTGAACAAATATTCATTTGATCCTTCCGACAGATCTACTCGTCGAACCCTACTTGCGCACTAGCTCCGAGGATCAGTTTAATCCTCACCGCATCGATTGATGTATAACCTCGCGGAACAAGTACACACGCGCACAAATAGAATAGATATTGCATTACACAACCCTCGTCATCATTAACGTGCACGCATCACAATGTATGTGTGCTCACACGCGTGCACAGTCAATGCAAATCGTCCAGCCCAGCCCGCGGACGCGAAACTTCGTTTCCCGCTCTGTGTCTGAAAGCGTACCTACCTACGGGTGTAAAACTGATTCGCCTGCAAGTTTTCAGAGTTTCGAGTGAAAATAAGTCTGATTTTCCGTGGTAAATTTGCATCGGCAAGTGTTCCTGCGCGCGTCAACCGTTGGAGCTGTAGCCGCGCTTGGCTGGAAATTGGAGAAACGAGCGAGAGAAAGAGAGAGGGAGAGAGAGAGAGAGGCTGAAGCGTAACAAGGCGTATAATAAAACCCTAGTGACACGAACAAACAGCCATCTGCGGCGCACTAATACCCCTGCGGTGCCGGCACCGCCCCGAAAAACTCCGCTCGCGCCTCCCGAATTACAATGACAATGCCTGAAATCCGATCCGCCCGCGGGCATGTACCGCTCATACCTACTCGTTCTTTCGCACCTCTCTGATTTTTACCTACTTTGTCACGGTCTAGTTGCGCGTGTGTGCACTTCTGTCTCGCTCGGCCTCTCTCTCTCTCTCTCTCTCCTTTTTTCGAGTGCTTATTATGTCTTCACGCCCTTTGTCGCGCACCACTCTGACGTTATGTCTACTTTGTACGTGCTGTCTACCTTTTTGCCTACTTTGATTCTTTTTGTTTTGTTATTCGCTGAGCGTCACACAGATTGTTCGCCTGTCTATCTTATCTTTTCATTTTAATCTTCGATTTTCCTGGCAGCCTACCGTAAACACTGCTAGTTAGTTTGGTTTCTATAGGGTGCAAAATAATGCAAATATGTCTATGTGAGAAATAGAGAAAAGGAAACTCGCGTGCACTCGAGTCGTGTGAACATATCCGAAATACGGTCAGTGGAACGAAACAACGCACAATGCTGGAATCACGTTGAGACGCGGAGGGGGGAGGGGGGGGGGGAGCCACGCTTTTGGGTGCCGGTAACTGGAGAGCACGCGCGCGAGTTCATTGTCGGCTAATAGGCAGGTAATACAGCGGACCCCACCGTGCGATGCGGACGCGCACGGATATAGCCAATACATGCACATAGCCAGAGGTGGCTTTTTTTTCTCTCATCTCGAAAATACGTATTATTTGGTGAAGGGGCCCTCGGAATCATATACGAGCCCAAAGATGTATATGTACTTACTTTTCAACAGCGGCAGGTCGTTCATGAAACCTCCGTCGTCCACGTTTGTGTTCTGCAACAACGGGAATTCGTTGTAATTATTGAGGCGTCTCGTTGTCGCTAATGTTATTAATGTAATTACGCGCTGGGCCAACTAATTAACTAGTATCGCGCGTCACTGTCAAGCAGACCTTGTTATTATCAATCCAAACAGTCCATTATGACATTAATAATTTGCATCAAAGCAATTATTTTCACGTACTTGCAGAAAAGAGATTTTCCATTTGATAAAATTTTGAGAATTTTAGGAAGTTCAGTACAACCAAATATACTATGTGACGTATAACGATATATCTCGTGGAATTTCGCGAGATAAATACAGCAAGCACTAAAGTCGAAACTATTTATGATTACGAGAGGAATAAGAATAAGTTTTCAAGCCGCAAACGGGACACAACAAAGCTTTGGTTCTCCCTTTTTAAGCGAAAATAACAACGATTCGTTTTTACGATCCTACTCTCACTTTGTGTGTGCAGGTTGGTCTCTCGAGTTTTCTGAGAATTATTTCGAAAATGAAAGTACATTCCACGTCGATGTTACTGAACGCGCATTAGCAGAGTACAAGAGCAGAGCGCGATAAAATTATATCTGATTTGCAGAAATATTACCGTATGTAGTGTTTCTGTAAATTAGATAATAATCTGTTATAATTTGGAAAACGATGAAATGAAAGTTACGCCATTCTATCGGAAGAGATCAAGTAATAAAACGACGATTAGGCCAGGCAGCAAAGTCAATCGTGTTTTATATATGTTATAGAAATCCATCACCAAAAGTAGTTCAAAATACGTAAAGGTGTATTTGAAGATGGCGATTACGTACATCGTCGCTCACCTGAGGGTCGTCCACGAGACTGGTGTGTAGCACGAGGTCGGTCTGGTCGAGGCCGGGCGGTGGCAGCAGAGCATCGGGACGTCTGACCGCCCCATAGTCAACATTACGACCTCCGCTACCTCCGCCACCACCGCCGCCGCCTCCACCACCACCTCCACCCCCGCTATTCCGGCCACCATCGTACGGAAACGACGCATGCATATTTGTCTGCAAACAAACAAAAATAGGTCAATGTTGACTGGATATACTCTGAAATTGTTCTTTATTCGAAAGCTACCAGGAAACAAATTTATACATTGGTTTTTTTATGACATCACACGAATCAACTAGTAAAAGTAGTTACGCCGATTCAAATCCATTCAAGTTTCCGTAGCCGCAGCTAAATTAGCTTTCTGCAACTGTAAATTTTACGACATTGCTATTTTGATGAATCATCGCAGGCTTACTCATACAGGAAACTCGTTATAACTCTTTTGAATTTAAATATAGAAACTTTCCATGTCTAACTGGTGGCTGAAAATAAATAAAAAATCTTTGATTCGCAAAGTGAAACTTTACTAAGAACAGCCGTATTGTTACAGTGGCTTCTTTTTAGCGTCAATCAATATGAAAACTTGACGTATAAAAATGAGGAAGAACCTTGATGAGGCTCATAAGTCGGCTAGCTACGGAAAAAATATAAGCACGCCAGCACTTCATGTATATTTTACAGGAAAAAGATAAGAGGTACGTGCGTCGATGGCTCGCGGATGAAAATGTAAACGCAACGCGGTTTTATTTGCTTGATGTACTCGAGTTGAATACTAATGTCGCATCTCTGCAGAAAAATTTTATTTTTTTATAGACTTATTTTTTGTTGTTAGCCTGCACCTCGATTGGCGTACATAAGCTCTTGCTCTTTGCATCCAATTAAGTTGAACTTGCTCGCGAGTACGTACGCCGCAACCTTTACGGTATGCGCGCATGGACACATTTACGTTGACCATTCAAAATTTGGAAAAACAGCAGGTCTGCAGATTGAGTACACACGATTTGATTATTTTGAAGGAGAGTGCGGGTAGCAGGCGTCGGGGATCTAAATTAAAACGTCATCTAAGATTCGCGTTGGAGAGGCGATCGGCGTGGTGCCCATTAAAATTCCTTGAAGCGAAATAACGCGTGAGTCAGTCGCAGGCCGAAACAAAAACAATGGGGCAAAAATCGACACGGAGAATAATCCTGGAAGTGCGAGAAAGGAGAATCGTCGAACAAGAAGCGAGATAAGCTCATTGATGTTGTTGCTCGCGCAGAATAGGCAGTGGATTAGCGGTATCCGGCTTTGCGGGGATTGTCTGTGCATAAAGTCGACGAGACGCCGTCGTTCGATCGCTTCCCGATAGAAGGAACCGCTGCGCGGCGCGTCTGCCGCGGCTGCGTTGGTCAAACATTTAATTTGTCGCTGTTGCCGGACAATTCGTATTTTATCAGTGGAGAATCTTCAAACGCGAGTGTTCGTTAGCTTCTCGGAGAAATTTCTGCAATTACTGTCGGTCGCCTAGATTCTACATATAACGCACTGGGAATGATTAAAGCTAAGGTTATAATGATCGTGCGCGCAAATAAATTGCGAGCGCAACGATGCCGAACTAATAATCGAACGCTATCAATTGAGTTTCAGTGGGTATTCTCTCGCGTGCGCGAGGCGTGAAACTTGGAGATTCCGAGGAGCCGATTGGGTGCAGTTTGCGCGCACGAAGATGCGTTTATAAATCTTCAATGAAAGACGTATTCTATCGTTTATGGATAAACCATCGATTGACGCGCGATCTATTGTCTCGAGAAGTTCCCATGTGCAAACGCTTCGCTTAAATCGCCACTTATTTTGCGCTGCGAGCATCCGCAGAAAACCGTTAGTATACACGAATGTTGCGTGAAAACGATGGCGTAATCGTACGCGAGGCTAAGGGAGATAAAAGCTCGAAAAGTTCGCTGGGAAAATTGGTTTACACGCGATCCGCATGCAAAGTCACACGGCTGATTTATAACATTTACACCGGCGCCGATACCCCGTGATCTCATCAGCTTCATTAGGCCGAGTTTTGCTTTTACGTCGACCGCTTGTCTTTTCCACCTTCATTCTATTTATTAAAGGCGGCAGTTCGCGAGATATGAGCTCGCGCTTTACCCGCGCCAGCGTGGACCGTTAGAGTGCATTCGAGAGATGACTCGACGGTGAGCGCCGCCGCGCGAAATGTCAACTGCGCGCGCGTGAGAAAATTTGCGAAGACTGGCGCAGTGAAAAAGAAACGAGCATGAGCCGTCGGCTCGAAAGTTTCGCTATCCGACATTCGTTTAATGACTCCATTTAATGATACTCTTACGAGTAATCATGTTGGAGTTTATCAATGATTTTTTGTGTATCGAATTTTCGCCAATCGGTTAAACTGTCTGCTTGTGCGCGCGTGCTAAAGAAAACAAATATGTGTGTGTGTGTGTGTGTGTGTATAACAATAATGGTATTTCTCGATTGCATTTACGAATCCGATAAAACGACTCATTATATTGAGAAATTTACGGACTAAAGCTCCGCATACAATGTAATTAGTGTTAATTGAGGGAATTCTATCAAGACCAGCTTGTTTACTTTAGAGACTATTTTCACGGAGAATTCGAATGATCCGTTTTAAAAGCTAATTACTTAGAGGAATTTTTATCTTCCCATTGAATTTTCCACTGATAACGGATGGACGTTTATCGGATTCTCACTTGATATTCACTTGCAATTTCTTGCAATCCTCGATCGCGCGCAAGTTAAAGAACAAAAAGAACAAAGTCTCTTTTCCACTTGACATCGGTGTTGATCGCATTAGGTCAATTAGCGGTAAGGTTTTCAACGGAGAAGAGGAAAAAAGCACACGGCAAAGCTTAACGATTCATTAGCCAATGCAGGCGTTCGAGATTTCAGTGGTAAGCACGGCACGTATTCAGGACTCCGCGCGAATCGGTAATCGCCAAACAATAACGATTTTCGCCGCCTAATTGTATCTCGTTGAGAGGAAAAAAAGGAGATGCTGGATAAAGCCGCGAGGATGATCAAGCCGTATCACGCGAGCGAAGCACCGCAAACTAAGTGGCAGCCGTAGTCTGCGAGAAGGAGGTTAAGCGGTCCAAGGCCGCGAACGAAAGCAAGTGGTCGTCGTCACTCAAATTGAATCGTTAATTAGGAATGCCTTCGCGCGCGGATACTGCTCGTGCGCGGTAATTGATGGCTCAAATTAATCTTCGTCGCCTTTGCGCGTCTCGCGCGCGCGCACAATAGCGGCCGTTTTGAAGCGTCGTCGCGATCGGTTGACTGTCCGCCAAAGAACGCCGGCTTTTCATCGCGCGACGACTTTTTTTCCGCCGAGGAATCGAGGCCTCCGGCATTAACGAGGGTGCGCCGTTATAGATGTTTATTGGTCGTTCGAGATCCGCTCGATGGCTTGCGCGCGGTCACATTGTGTGGCTGCGTTATTTTGTTTCTCCAGATAAATTTGTGCAGAGATCGTGTAACGATCGGCGTCGTTTTCTAGTGGCGACTCGCACTTGCATTTTCGAAAGAAAGGGAAAAAAATTCAATGGGAAAGCCGTAAATCTCGGCGGATCGAATCATAAATCTCGGCATTCATAAACGCTCAAAATTCATCAAACTCGCATGAATCGTGTCCGCGCGAGGAAATTTCTAATTAGGCTCTATCTCTGTCTCGCGCATTCGCCGCGCGCACGTAATAAATCGAATGGCCCGCCGGTAATGAATCGTCGCTGCGAGCGTCCACCTCTCACAATGGGGTAGATTTTTCTACGCGTGCGCGGCGTATACGATGACCCGGAGACCGTAAGGATTCCTGAAAAGCATTAAGCGAATTTCACCGCACGGACGCGGACCCAATTCCCACACGATGACTCGACGGATAGCCTGCGCACTCGAGACGGCGCTGCATCTCTATACGCCTTATGTCCTCGGCGTATATCCTCTGAATAGCCGGCGACTGCTTGTCGACAACATGTTCTGGCGTTGTATCCTGTTTAATTCATTCGAGGATGACTCATTTGAATTAGATTTTGACACTGTTTAACCAAGCTTTCATCAAATGCGTGTTCATTCGTTTCTTCACTGCCGTTACAATAAGTGATTAACTTGGCTTACATTTCGAGACGTCGTTTGCGACGCTTTCAATCTACTTTGTAAAGAGCACCCAAGGTTTTATGTAACTTTATAATGTTACGTCACTGATGGTAGTTGCGCATCTTGATGCGGGCTAAATCTGCGATAAATTTTTCAAAGCTTGACAAATCTGCCAAGTTATTGCTCGATTTCAGGAAGAAAAATCCAGTCGCAATTAATTTTGAAATCGGAGTTTGAGAAAAAAGCAGAAGCTAGTCGAAGGAATAGGAAAAGCAAAACGTCAAAGAGTTAAAGCGATAGACTAGTTTGAAAAGAGCGCAAGGGAAAACTCGTCCGTGTTCAGTCATAAACCCAATTAAACGTCTACACGCGATATAATTGAAAGGACAAGGCGCACAAAGAAGCTGGACACGTTTCATACGGCGAAGGTGGAAGGAAAGAAATGATATCACAGAGTACTAATTAACGACAGCTCCTGCTGCCGTCGCTGTACTCTCCGTCATTCGTCCTCGTTGTTGCTTTGGCTTCAGAGGCGATAAGTTTCCTCTCTCTCCCTCTCCCTCTCCCCTATTATCGCGGCAGGCAGTTTATTTTTCCTTGAACGCTCGCGACACAGAAAGGTTTTTCTCTCTGCGTGTCGAGTAGCTCTGATAAAAGCGAAATCAGGCGAAAAGAGCGCAAAGTGACTCGTACCGCCGAGAGAGAAAAAGAACAAGAAATAAATTTGCCGGCGGAGGAGAGAGAGAGAGAGAGAGAGAGAGAGAGAGAGAGAGAGAAGCATAAACGCCGCTAATAAGATGAAACACGATCGCCTTTCTCTCGTTAGGCGCTTGCGCGCGGAAAATGAAAAGGCTGCTGATGGATTTTTGCAGCGTACGCGCGTGCGATTACGCAGGTATATACGTACTGGAAGGACGACGGCCTGTTTGGAATATGGATGTGCCGCGCAACAGTTAATTGGGTGCGTATTTTGCGGCCGGATGCTGATCGACGCTGCAGGGATGCCAGTCCCATTTTTTTTTCTCCCTTAATGTTAAGCAGCTCCCTCATTTTTCTGCCTCGA